CTCGATAAATTCTCTAACCAATACAATATTTGTTCAATATGAACCAGTAGTTCCTGAGATTAGTGCGTTCAAACAAACTCTTCAACTTTATATATTAGTATAGATTTATTCTTCATACACAACACTAACCTATAACTTATTTAAGAAAAGTCGGGAAAGTCGGATAATGGCTAGCGATGGCGGTCATAGCTAACCGAGGCTGACAATAAAATACAACAGAACAAATACCCAGGTGCTGCTATAACAATAAATCACTGTAAAGCATTGCACTCTTTTGATCTTTATATTTAGACGACTTAAACGTTTATTCCTTTTTTATTGTTTGCGAAAAATAATGAAAAGTGCTGTCAAATTGAAGAGTTTTTACAACTATATATTCTTTTTATTACACTTTTTAACTTTATTATACATAAGATTAAATTTCTCGAGGACTGTTACCGATTACGGCAAAAGTAAGTAAATTAGTTATTTAAGTTTTATGTTATTTAAGCTATCCGTGTCTGCAACTTGACTACTGACTATAATATTGCCTACGAATCTTCAAGTTATTTAATTTGATTCAGAAAAGGTAACCTCAATGGAAAAATTTCAATTACCTATTATCCCATATTTACAATGAGAACATTTATAATTCAATATTACTTTACAATGATCACTGATTGCATTTTTGCAATCAGTGATCGTTGATTTCATTTTGAATAGAAAATAAAATATTTTTTTGTAAAATAATCCGAATCTTGTTGAGTTGCTGTATGGCTGAATGGTATTTTACCTTCAAAGTTAACTAGAAACTACATAATAAGTTTATTTAGTTAAATAAAAGTTATATAATAGACATTTTTACTTAAATATATATTTTGAAGTCGAATCTTGATCGAACCCAAAAAAATTATTGTCCGCCCATGTCATGATTTTTTTAATAGAAAATCAACACCGTGTATGTATTGATCGGCAACAATAATCTAAACTCAGTATTAATAAAATATTTTTTTATATTTAAAAAATTACGGAAATTCGCGATGGAAAACCTTGCCTCCGGCAAAAAGGATACTTCGTGAAAGCAAGTTATTAACATTTCCTCTTTGTAACAGATATTTATGAAAACCTCCATTTCGATGTAGTGGTTTTTCAGAAGGATTAAGGCTTGTAATTTCGACATTCTCACAAAGAGATATTAAAATTAACGAATGATAATGTTATCAGTAAATATAAAACAAAACCAATGTAAGATGCAGATATAATGTATTTATTAAAAATTATTCGCTATCAATTAATAATTAATAAAAAATCAATTTTTTTATCATAACGACTTTTTAATCTAAAATGTATTTCTGACAATATTTCTATATACATTTTTGAGCCATAAAACAATTAACGAATACAAAAATAATTAACTAAGATCTTAAAACTGAATACAAAAAAATTTAGAACCTGCCATGTATTCAGTGATGGTCTGAAAAGCCCCGTCTTGTCATGTGTCACTCACATCGTTTGTCACGCGGGACAAAAACTACGGGACAAAACTTCGGAACGTTTGCTCGGATGCTTACAGCGGTAGACCGCTTACCTCCATTTGAAAAATGTTCGCGGATTACGTTTCTTGTTAGGTGTTACTTTGTAAAAAGAGTTTTTAAGTGTAACACAATCTTTATGAGATTATTACAAGATAATCCATCTAAACAGAAAGAAACACTGAGACTTAAGTTTAGTAAATTACAATAGTAAGATTGTGCACTTTATTACCACCTTGTCACTTTCTTTTCAACTACCGGGTTGCCTCTATATATTAGTAATTTTCCGGCATCTCAGTCATTAGAACTGGCATCGTCAGCGTTCCGTGCTGTTGCTCTTTTCGATTTTCAAATTACATAGTGCCATCATGTGAAAAAATATTAAAGTTTTCAAACGTTAGTAAAACTTTTTCAAAATTATTTTGAATTTGACCCGACGTTTAGGATGCTTTGCAGCAGCTGTGATCACGAGGGAAGTTTAACTAATATATATCGCGTTTTAAACCGTTAAAGTGTTTTATTTAAATGTGTTCTATACGCTAAAACTGCAGACAGTACTTTATTATTACCCTCTGACCGACTTTTTATACTTGAGGCAAACATTTAAACTCGATTTATCTCGGCCCACTTACACTGGTTTCTCCAAAGCACAGCTAGAAACTAAATCAGTGAAAGTCTAGTCTAGCAATAGATATTTGTAAAAGTTTTGTTGAAGAAGTTGCAGGAAAATATATAGGATATGCAGGAGTGTTGCTCATTAACTACTAAAACTACTTTCAGCAATTGATATCCTGTAACATAATGGTAGGATGAAGTTAAATTGTCTAACCGGGGGGCGAACGCGCAGCATTTCACCTTTCGATGTTAAGTTTTAAATTGGTTCTTGTACGACCGCTTGTCTTCGCTAATGAAACCCCTGCGGCGACTTTAATCGTTTCGCGTGCACTTTATACGTGTATTCGACGAATACTTTCGTGCAAGCGAAATGCGTCTTTTTCTCCAGCGATCAGCGTTTAAATTTGCATTCACAGCTATCGTAACAGACGTGTACTTGTGGTCACGGTTTTTAACGTATTGCTGTAAATGGATGGACGATTGTTATTGTATATTTTAGACAGAATTTTTTGTATACTGAGATGTTTCTCATGTTCTTAGAGATGTTAACTGACTAAAGATTTTTATCAGATAGGTAGGTAATTAAACATTAATTTATCCTGTTTTATTTATGATAAAATCCTAATAATACTCACGGGTCGTAGGTCAAAATGTTTCTAATCAATTTACAATTTTTCTTAAACATGTCTGAAAGTTTGGATATTGAATGGGTGACAGGATTCATCCTCAAACAAAATCGTTAAGCTTTAGTTTAGTTCTCGTTTAGGTTTAGCCTATAGACTTTCGAACGCCTGAAGCCAAGATTTGTCGACAGTCAGTTTAGATGTTATAAGCTAGGGTATTTCACCTTCCATAAAGTGAAATGTTTACTTGCCGCCTTCTGTCATAAATTAGGCATTAAAACAATTGAATTACAGTATTTGTGTTCCTTGTAGTCTGTGTTTTAGCATTATAGCCTTATGCTGAAGGAAATATCATTATGAGTCTCATATTTCCTAAGCTAGCAGCGTTACAGCAAACATACTTGAATCTATTCTTTTCAGTAATAGTAAATATAGAATGAATACACATGTGTTGCATTTATACACTGGTAAATCTGCAAGTGTGCATAGTGATTTAGTGAGTACTGATACCGCATGACACTGAAAAATGGATGGTTGAAATGCGGTGACACTCTGCATTCGTTTCTTCATTAATACTCAGCTTCCTAGCTAGATGGATGAAGGGGTAATGCATTTTTAGACTCTGCTAATGACTCAAATATTTGAGTCTTTTTCTTACATGTATATGATCAGAACTAAAAATACTATCTTGAAGAAAGTCATACAAAGTTTAATATTAGATTTTACTTTTTTCTACGGAATTAAATATGTACTGATTTCTTCCTATTAAAAAAAAATATCTCTTTTTTAATAAATATTGATAATTATTTTTTGTAAACCGTAATTTTTGCATAACATTTCAAAAATAAAGAATTAGTGCACAATGTAACCGCTCTTGACCTTTTGATTAACGACTTATCTTTTTTCTCTATTTTATAGAATTATATATGGCAATATTAGAGACACGAATTGTTATAATGGACAGCCCAGGTGCTGCGCGGTTCAAGGTGCGTATTAAATATTCAATAGAATTTTCCATTATTGTGACTCCATTTCTAATATATTAGAGTAGCGTTAATGACAGTACGGAAAAATCGATATGACATATGTATTTTGATCATACAATAATAAAGCGTTTATCCTTACACATATCTATTACTGTAAGAAAAATGAGATACAATAAAAGACAGAGAAAGATCTTAAACGAGACAAACCTGAGCGTCGTCTTTAACTATGTTATATTACAAGGAACATAATAATATACAATCATAGGAATCGAGAAAATTTGGTCCAACAAAAAGTTCGCGTGTACAATTCCGACCAGGTTCAAATCAATTTATATATTTTTTAACAAGTGACTTTGGAAAATCTTTCATATATATAGGTATTAATTAATTTTAGATTTAGGTTAATTAGGTTAAAAATTCAAAAGATATCTCAGTCGCAATAGTGGGCTAAAAACCGATCACAGATAATATAATATAACATGCAAATAAGGTATAGCTATGGAATTTTGATGTTGCAAATATTTGATTTTCATTCTAGTTATTATAATTCTATTATTTTCGGTTCGCACAAACGAATTTAATTATGCGCTTCGACCAAATCAATTGGAAGCGTGTAAATTCTAGATTAATTCAATTGTTCCACTTTTACAATGCATATGTTAATTACGGGTATGTTTACAATTAGTTGAACGAGTTATAAGTACTGGCATATATTGGTTGTTATCCAAGGTACCATCGAAGAATCTGTCTTGATCTTATTTCATATACAAATAACTTTTGATTGGAGATTCGATCCCCAATTGTTACCAACATAATACAATTGATAGGTTTGTGGGCGTAATTGTATCAATAATATATACATGACTAATAAGCAACGGGTCGTAAGATCTAAAAGAGGGATTTCTTCAAAGAAAATTGTCCCGAAAAGTGAACGGCATAAATATTATTAATCGATGTGGGACAACTGTCACAAGGTTGACTATACCGCAGACGCGAGTTAGAGTTCTGTCTGTTTTATGTATTCTTTCACAAAAGCAAAGCGAATCCTCTTTCCGAACAGTCGGTTCACAATATCGGCTGAGGTTCCGGTCTAGCACAAAGCCATTACAATGCAATCAAGGCACGACGTCCACTGATAGGATAAATCTGGTATCATAACCTAGCCTGGATCCAATTCACGCTTCGTAGACGTGGTGTCAAATTAATTATGTGCGCTAGATTTAGCGATCTCATATGTCACTCACTATAATTAAATAAGCCCAAAAATGTATAATAGGTAAGAATGAAAATCTTTAATATACATTAAATTAAGAACAGATTCACTGTGGGTTTACGCTAGAAGCACACATTTAAATAACGGTTTAAAACACGATATAAACTTTTTTGAAAATTATAGTCTCCCTGAGACTGCGGCTCTGCTGCAAAGCATCCGAAACATCAGGCCGTGATTTAAATAAGTCAATTTTACATATATTCAAAAGAACGTTTTTTTTTTGTTTTTGTTTTTTTGTAACAATAAAGAATATTTGTATTTGTATTTGAATTTTTTGCTATAAAGAGATTACGCATGTTTTTTTAATGTATTTTGTCATGTAGTACACATAAAGCAATAAATCTTATTTTATATTGAAAAAGGTATTTTTAAAAGCAAAAAATCAATCAAAGTACTAAGTAGTTTTACAGTTTTGTAAACTTTACTATTAGTCTATTGCTACCAAGATGGTTTAACGAGTAAGATCACAACTCGCCGGTCACGTCTCGTCCTATATAAATATAATCTGTGGTGATAGTCCGAGGGGCGAATGGGGACATATCGGACACCGTCGCTTGATTGCTTTTTAATAGCTTCGTGCTAGATATCGTGCACCAATCGACACTCTTTTATCTTTTCTCGTACGTATCTACTTTGCTTTACTTTCTTCGGTTGCGAAGTGCTTTTCGATGTTTGCCAGTTCGATAACGACCTGGTATGATATTTAAATGGAATTATTTTTAAAGCCTACTAACGACTATTTTTATCATCTAAATATTTGTAATTGTATGATTTTCAAGTGATACAGAAAAAAAAACTGTATTATGATGTCATCTGAAGGATGAGATAGATATAGACCGAGTATAGGTATATAACTATCTCATGCATCTATACTCTTGTTCACTGTAAAAATAAATAGATGTAATTAAAAAGTTCTCCCACCTTTACTAAAATACTTAAAAAATTAAATACTTTAAAATATTTGATTAATAATATATGAACTCTCTACTCCCAAAGCAGAGTAATTGGAGAAATCCGGTGCATTTGGCTAAGCGCCTAGTGCGAAATTGTTTTTAATATTTGCGAGGCAATCTCGCCATAAACAGTCTCGGCGAAAGCAAGTGTCCTAATATATTCTTATATCCTAGTATCTTTTGCAAATCTGCTCTTACAATAGTTTTCACAAAAGTTGGTTGTGTCAATTGCTTAGTGTGGCAAGGGTTGTAACGGGTTAAGTCGTCGCGAGCGCACTTACGATTATTATTTAAAATGTTATTTTATTTATAGGCAGTGTAGTGTATAAGATTAAGATTTGCAAATTGAATGTTTTCTAAGTAAAGTTGATTCGGTAGTATTCGCTTAAAATCGCTTATTCCCCTCAGAGTTCAATATAAGGTAGATTATACCGTTAAATAATGCTTCGCAGAATTTCTGACAATTTCATATTTTCGCTAAGCTCGCGTGATCGGCCCCACCGGCTGTCACTTGTGAACCATTAATATTGTAAAAAATCGCGTCCTGTCGCGATGTGCCGTGCATTATAGCAATAATTTGAAATCGCATGTCTGTCTGTGATTGTCTAAATAATGTCGGCCTCCACAAATGCCTATCATTTTAACTTTACACGTATTTGCTTTTAATCGTTTTCGGAATTTCAATGTTTTTGATGTTAAATTGAGGGAATGTTTGCAAATGGAGTGGCATTTTAGCGCTGTCAGTGCAAATTATTTTACGCGGAATTAGTTAAAATATACTGGATTAATTATATCTTATTTTTCTTTTTAAATACGCGTGGAAAGGTAGAACACTTTTAAATTTAAAAAACTAAACTTACAACACCAAATTGTTATCTTAGTTATTCTAGCATATAAATTGTGTATTTACACATTATATCTCGCCTATACTTTTAAAGCTCTGAGAAAAGCAAATTCTATGTGTGACAGATTGTTTTTGTTATCAGGTTGAACTACATGCTGGTCGGCCTTCGGCCGTGGTGGTGGCACGTATGCAACGTGCTTTTGCACGCGGCGTGCAGCGTGCTCGTTGCGCGAACGTGTGTCACGATCGCGCGGTTGCAACGACCGTTCGCGGCGCTAGCGGCGTTACTCTTCGCTATTCACCCTATACATACGGAAGCGGTGAGTCAGAAAGATAATGAAAGATAATACATCCATAATTTCCTTGAGACGAATAAATGAATATATAGTATACTGAGAATATAGTAAACTAAATTTGGTAATAATACTCCAATGAGGATAACACATCTAAATAAGCAGGTAAAAAAAATACAGTTCTTAATAAACTAATTTCTTGCAGGTAGCGGGCGTTGTCGGGAGAGCTGATGTTTTAGCTTGTATATTTTTTCTATCTTCTTTACTAGTCTATCATAGGTAAGTTGAGTTTAAAAAGGGCTTAGTTACAGATTTCTAGGTTGAAAAGTATCAATTAGTCACGGAAGAACCTCGAGTTTGTAATAATAATATAAAGCGCTCGACTAACAGTATTCCATTATACGCACTTAGATCAAATCAATACATCCAGTCTAACGATCAGTACTTTCAGAATTATTCCAGAAAACGTTTAACCATCTACCACTCCGCTTCCGGTTTCGTAATAACAATAAATGGTGGACTGTTAACTTGAAAAAGTCCATTACAATCATTCACAATTTGCCCATTTTTCGACACGATTGAATGAGAATAATAAAGCTCTTATTTTAAAACGCGCCGGGCCAAGGAACGGTAGATTTGTGCTTATTTTTCAGATAAATCAGATTTTAAAATCGTACTCCAAATGATTTCCGTAGATGAAAACAATTTCGGTTACATCTCAACCAAGATATTTACTGACATAAGGTTTAAAACTAAAAATATATATTATTATATAAAGAAAAACTTAATTCTACACCGTTTAGACCCACGAGTAACAAGAAGAGTGTATGCCTAAGTGTGGTGCTGGGGGGTCTAAGTATGCTGGCCAAAGAGACTGGAGTTACGATCCTCCTGCTAAATCTAGCGATTGATTTCTACAGATGTTGGCCGTTTGTTAAGAGGTAATTTTTTTTAGATAAAATTTCACAATAATATTTGTATATATTGCTGCATAGATTATATAGCTTATATTATATTTAATTTTGCTATTTTCATAAATAATTTACACGGTTCGTTTTCTTGTCTTTCCGCGTATAAAAGTATTTTTTTTTATAAATATCTATAGTAATTACGAACATTTATGAACCTCACTCATGAATTTAATGTTATTTCCACTTAAAAGGATATACTAATATCCAAAAGTAAATTAGACGCACATTAATATCCCCTTGATTTCTAATTATAATGTTCCGAAATACCCGCGTTTCCTCAATTACGTACTAATTCTACCTTCATCTAAAATTTCGGAATATATGCTAATATTTTCTACTTTGAAATGTCTTTACGTAAAGGCTTCTCTTGTATTTAATTATAATTAGCTTGATAAAGAAATATTAATACCTTGAGCTGATGAGCTTTTAATATCAGTCATACTTTTGATAAAGAACAAAACAATTATACGTAGTTTTGATTGTCGATGACAGACATATTAAAATAAAGGCTATTTCTTAAACAATAAACAAATATAAAATGTGTGGTACGTATTTGAATTATCTACACAATATTAGAGGAATTTGTTTTGGTGTATGAATAGGCTCAAAACTACTGGACCGTTTTTAAAAATTCTTTCACCATTCGAAAGCTACATTATCCACGAGTAACATAGGCAAAATTTTATTTTGGAAAAAAATAGGGTTCCTTAAAATATTTGGGTTTTTCAGACACAAAGTGTAAAAAATCAACCAGAAAAGTTACTTATTTTGCGTACGCTGCCTAAACTATAAAAGATAGAAGCATAAAATGTTCTAATTAATTGGAGATCTTATAAATATCTACAAAAAAGTCCGCGACACACTATACCTATCTATGTCGAGTGAGGCACAACAACCATTTTTTTATTTAAAAATCTTAATTTTTTTTTGGACTACATTTAAACGCATTTATTTTACTCATGCTATTAATCCTTATCAAAATAAATTATTTCATCACTAAGTACAGTTTATGTAGATAATATTTGGTATTTAATAGATTAAAATTGGACGTTTGGTTTTGAAGTTATGGCGAAATTAAAATATTACTATTTCTGCGTTGCGAAGTGGGCGTCACCAAGGCGGGGGTGCGAGTGGGGAGGGGAGTTTAGATTATGATTTTGTTACCAGAATATAATTTAACATCTAATGTTGTTTATAGAGAAGCTCTACAATAATCGCTTTATTTATCTATCCTAAAACAATCGGGTTACACTTCGGACTCCCGGCAGAAGTGAAAAGTATTAATTACATTTAAATATTTTCATATTAGCAACTTTAACATCCTCATAAAGACAGTCTATGCAGCTGTGGATAATGATGATGTGTTTGTCCATTTCGGCAAAACGGAGTGATGAATTGATTTTTTTTTTTAAGTGGAGATAGTTAAATAAAAGAGAAGTAATGGTATTTAACCAAAGAAGTGGGTGGGGTGTAGTATGTAAATATACTAACAAATAATGTATAAACTATGTAAACTAACTTAAGTAAATCGTGTTTAAAGAATCCAAAACTTGTTTAAAATATTTTATGTGTAATATTTACTCCAGTTAATTTAGTAAAATAAGTTTGCAACGTATTTTGAACATTACGAAAGGGCAAATCCGATATTATAATAAAATATTTACAAGACCTAATATCTACTTACGAATATAGACAAAATAAGATATATACTGCTTATAGGTCAATGTGGTCACTGAAAATCGAGAAGAAATGCGCTGGACTGTCAATAAGAACAATCAAAGTGGTCTTCTCTCTCGCTCTATTGATAAGCATGCGTCTCGCTCTTTTGCAAGGGACGTGGCCGGTATTTTCCCCCCAAGACAATCCCGCCGCTTTTCACCCCAGCTTTTTTGTACGGTAAGTTTGAATATTGGTCAGGCCTTTAACGTAGAGACCGTTGAAATCTTCTTTCTGAAGGTGTCGGTAATTATTGGTTGCCAAAAAGCAAAAGTGCGTTATGTAATTGTTTCGTCCTATGCTATTTTCTCTACAACGTTTTCTATCGTAACTCAAGCATATATTCGCAAAAATTGTAATGCAGATTCACCTGTCGACTGAGGGATTTATAAATTTGAAAATAGATGTAAAAACAACATAATGTTTCCCGGAGATTTGAACCCAACAACTTATTTGCCCACACAAATGTCTGAAATGACTCGAAACCATTTAAAATATAATTAGTATGCAACTAATAGACTTATGAACTATATAAATAATTAGTAATTGCCTGTTTTAATACAATAATTGCAATACCGCAAATTACAATCAATATTGGTTATTCTATAATTAATACGTCGTGAACTGATCGGATTATTATTAATAGGTTACTGGATCGGTATATATATAGATTTGGGATCGACGAGAAATATGTATATAATCTATATTATAAGCCTGAAAAATTTGTTTGGCTTAACGCGCATCTTGGTAAAAATTGTTTCCATTTTACAATTAAAATACTCAAAATTACAAATGTTAAAATAAGTAAGTACAAAAAGTGCAAAGAAATTGAAATATCAGCATAACATTGTTATTCGGGCTGTTCGGCCGGCGTAAGCGAGAAGTTCTCGACGTTTCGCCATCACGTGCGGACGGCATCATTAGTCATCATCATCAATGTTTAACTCCTCGATTGCTCGAAGAATTAATAATTCGTGTCGTCTGAACAGCCCAAAAAACAACGATACGATACGATATTTTAGCAATGGCCATGAAAGCTTTACAATAATTTATTAAACCAAAATAGATAAAATTAGAAAACTTTTTTAAATTAGGCGGCATGACTACAGTCCGAAAATACGCTATTGAATTAAGTACATATTGTCATAATAGTTTTGAATTTCGAAGCCCATCGACGAAGGCGCAAAGTTTCTCCGTTCCCTTACAATAGAAAACAAATCCGAACCCAGTTAGAAGTTGGCAGCAATACAATGAGGGTTAATTTAGTACCCAGAGGCGGGAAAATCTATTCAGTATGATAAAATTAGTGATCGTACATATTTACTACAAATTGAGCAGTGTATACACAATTGCATTAGTAAATTATTTTTTAAAATTGTAAATAATTCTTCATAGATTTAAAGTTGTAAATAATATATGTTATGCAAATACAAAACAGCTTCAACTTTCTTATGTCAAATTCGATGACTTTTCGATGAATGTACACTTACACATTTTGTGGTAAGTACACATTGGCTGGGTTATTTCACCTATTATTAAGTGAACCCTAGACTTGTCTGTCCTTAATTATATAAAAAAAATACTTCAACGTGATAGTGTACATTAACGACACTCATAAAAATAGTGTTTTGAATCTCATTTGTGTTAAAATTAATTATTAATGCGGGGATATGGGATTGTTAAATGTATTAATATTATGATATACATTATAGTCCAATAAATACTTATTTTAGATACCTACAGTTTATTGACTAACTTAGATTAGGACTTTGGTAAACTATATTATTATTTATAATGTTTGACTTGATTTCTGATACCAGGTTAATGACCTTCTGCTACCTAGCGGCTTTCAACTGGTGGCTACTTCTCTGCCCCTGGACCCTGAGTCACGATTGGCAGATGGGGTCAGTGCCCCTTATTACCAGTGGTTGGGATTTAAGAAATCTGCTCACTTGTGCAGCACTGGGCACTCTACTCTTAATTTTCTACAGATGTTTCACTGACTTGGAGGTAAAATTATAAATTATTTATACTTTAACGATAAAATTAAAGAGTCTGTTTAAAAGCACTCATCTCGGGAACTACTTATTCAACTTAAAGAATTGTGTCTGTGTTGGATAGACCATTTATAGTGAAAAGCGTTTACGTATTATGATATTGAAGCTTTATTTAATAATTAAGATATTGAAGAATAATGATGTGTTGAATTTTTCGAGAAAAGCTTTAGGCAATAATAGTTGTAAGAACGACGGGGCGCGACCGACGTCGCGAGGAGGTTTGCAAAAACAAATTTGGATGACCAAACTAACTATATTACGACGAATTACAGACGAGGTCGTTGAATGCTAATTATGTTATACAACTTTACATTGTTTCAGGTACAAAGACACAGTCCTTTACTGGTTGGTCTACTCCTTCTAGTTGTCCCATTTTTGCCGGCAAGCAATCTATTAGTGACTGTGGGATTTGTCATCGCAGAGCGAGTACTATATATTCCTAGGTACGCTTTGAAATCCAGGTCTTAACAATAATTTTGAAGAGTCTTACGTCAATTATTTAGAAAATGCTAAAAGTAAATGTCCATCGAATCGCAGTGTTATAGCGCATGTTTTCTATAAAAATAATTATAGGGGTATATATAATTTACGAAAATTCCTAAACTTTATAATTATATTAAACAGAAATTGTTGATATTTTTTTATTATTGGGATACGAAAGTAAATGATTTCATAATACACTACTACATACTCCTCTTATTTATTAACCCCTGTTATTTCTTATAGCTTACCAATTAATTACATTCTATTATATAAAAAAATCCATTCTACAATATTTTTATCAGTAGAACCTGAAACCCCCACTAAGTCTCGTTAACCTAACAAGGTATCTCGTTACTAGCAAAATATCTAGAAGTTAAGATTGTCCCCTAGGGCTGAGCTAATAAAATATTCTTTTAGAAGACTAACGACGCTTATGCGAACCTTGTAAGGACTATTATCTATTCATAAGCTTAACTAAAATCTCAATTTATTCCTTACACAAAACTTATTTTCCTTTATGGAAAACACCTTTGACAGATTTATAATACCAGAAGACAGGATTGAAACACCTTTTCTACTTTCGCAAAAAAAGTGTCGGTCGAGGATTTTACTCCTATAGATTAAAAATCGAATTCAGATTGAAAAAAATGTACGACAAGGGCGGGATACTAACCTGAATCCTCAGCGTTCCGTGCAATCCCTCTAGCCAAAAAAACCTTAACACATGTATAATTAGGGCTTTATTTCTTCTAATTTCCTATTTTCATCTCTAAACAGTGTTGGCAGCGTCATAATAACGGCATATGGTGTCCAGCTGATGTGGTATTCAAAACCTGGTTCGAAGCTGTTTCTGGTTGTGGGCCTGGTTGTTTTGGCAGCCAGCGGTGTCGCCAGAACACATAGACGGAATGCGGACTGGCGTGACAGAGCTATATTATTGCGGTAAGAGAAAACGAATGACGGATAGTAAAGTATATGCTGATAAAAAGTATATATCTACATGTTTTTGTTGGTTTTTTTCAAAACTTTAATATTTTTCACAAGATGGGATTACACAAATAGATGTATTTATAAATAGAAAAAAACGACGACACGGGCAGTACTGAGATGTGCATGTGAAATTGGTTGAAGAAGTTAATTCAGTTAACTTAATCATTTAGAGCAGCAGCATGGAACGCTCTGGATCCCAGTTCAAGCCCGCCCGTGTCGTAATTTTGTTTTAATCTAAATAGATTTTTAATGTAGTATTTTTCAGTTTTACAATATAAAAATAGTAAATATGGCGTCTTTATGATATTGACTTGTAAATTTAAAACGTAAGTTATGACACTTTTAGACGAATATTTAGAAATATAACGCAGGCCATTTTATATTCAAAGTTATCTTATGAATGCTGGAAAAAATGTAAAATATTCGAATTATATCTTTGAAACAAGATTCCAGAAGCATGATAAATCGCGCAACTTTAAATGGTTTTACTTTAATGTGTATTGTTGTGAAGTTACTTGTAGAGTCAAGTTGCAGTGCGAGCTCGACAAACATATGCAGTGTAATCACTGACTATGCTACTTTGCACAACTTTCTTTGCAGCAATAAAACTACATAGACTTACGATTGAGATGGTTTTGACGGACTGTTTAAGAATTTTAACGAGAGGTTAGCAATTAAAGCCATGCCAAAGAAATGTAGTTTAATTGAAACAAGTAATGTAGCATTTTGTATGTAGCAAAGAGTTTGAAAACTTTAATATTTTTTACATGCTATTGTCACATGTCTTACATATTGTTTTAAGTTAAAAAAAGGGGAGGGGGGAAAAAAAAAAAAAAAAAAAAAAACAAAAAAATTTTGAAAAAACCCCGAAAAAAAAAAAAAAAAAAAAAAAAAAACGGACCGCGGGGCGGGCGGGTTCATGCCCCCCCCGAGCATTAATTTGTTCAATAAATAATCGTTCTATATATAGAAAAAGTATATTATAGAATATAAAATCACTGTTAGTACGTTTTATTTGAATTGAATAAATGTTAATGGAAATATTATAAAAATAAATGTACTAAACAACGTATGTCAATCCTTTAGTAACTCATGCTTTCGAAACACTATACCTATGGCACAGTGTATTGTTACCAGTGCGGACGTGACTAGTCTTCCGCAGAACGCGAAGCTGCACTACAACTTGGGGAACTTCCTCCGTGAAACAGAACAACCGGACTCCGCCATCAAACACTATAAGGAAGCGTTAAGGTCTTTTATTTGATATTTAACTCGCGCCTTTGCATGCGATGCTTTCATATTTTGCAATTTCCCTCTCTCTCGACTTGCTAAACTTTAGAATTGCGGTTTATTTTCTCTTTATAACTTCTGTTCTTTGTAGAAAATAAAACAATGCTTCAACACAAATGGCTGCGCTACTTCGTACATCTTTAGAGTCTGAGAGTTTAATGAAAAAGTTAAAAAAATACAATTAATACGAATAAACCTATTTGATATTTTTGTATCACCGAAATCATTAAAATGAATTTTCATGTCAGCAACGACGTCGATATCGAATATTTAAAAACTTTATTTTATATATATTTTGTATGAGTTAGGTGCATAATACTGGTAATACAGATTTTTCATTTCGTTTCATAATTTTCTTTTAAATGACGCAAAATTGTTTTAATATAACATAAAGCTGCATATTAGGTTCGAATCAAAAAGACTTAAGTTTCAGGTACTTGCGGATAATTTCGGTAAAGCAACCCACGCTTTATCCATTCTATACTTTCTTGAGAATCATTTAAGACTAATTTAATAAAAACAATATCCCTGCAGAATCAAGAAGCTTAAACATAGGATCTTAGATAAAATGGTAAGAGTTACCGCACGGAATACTATAGATGCCAGTTCAAGTCTCACCCGTGTCGTAAAATTTGTCAATTTAAATATCAGATTTTAGAAACGTTTAGGCAAGAGCGCTTCCGAAATGACTCGTAACATAACTAGAAAAGTTCTTGGGCGCAGTTGGAACATAATATGCCCTATTATATCTCCCATCCCGGTTTATCTTTATTTATGATGACATTTCGAGTATAAGTTAATGTAAATTGTTCCACTGTGCGCTAGACTAGACAGGTATTGCATTTCAGGTACGTGTTGCGGCAACGCAAGGAGTCCGTATGAATTTCAAAGGGAAAATGTAATTTGTACGAATTAACATATTTACTCGAAAGACGTTGCTTTGCAGATTCTTTATATTCATGTTCTGTTGCACGTCTTCTTTGAATCTTCTCCTTCTTCTCGTGGCCTACGCCTTAAATATTTTACGCTTTGATGTTGTTAGTTGTGATTGGTTTTTCACATCATTTCCCATAATAAAACCTTTAGTATCTGCTTATGATAGAAACTATATATGATATATCTTAACTATCCAAAGCTAAATTAGGTCCACGGCGCATCTTGTTTAGATGTTACAAGTATTTCTCACGTCATTTGGTACTTTGAAATTAGTAACATGTAGATATAAATTATACAAATATATATTTTTACCCCAGGTTATGGCCGACGTATGCCAGCGCACACAACAACATCGGAACGTTGGTGGCGGGGCCTGAAAACGCGGAATACCATTTCCTACAGGCGATTCGCTACAACAAGCACCATGTCAACGCACATTATAACTTGGGAAAGCTTTACAAGTTGGTATTTCAGCCGCTAGTGCTTTTCTATGCCATTGCCTTTTATTAATAGTTTATTCAAAAATACCAGAAAAATGTGAACCTAAAGTTACCGGAACATTTTCACATTTAAATTTATGTAAGTATAAAAAAAAGCAGAAAATGTAGATTATCCCGAAAGGTGTTTGAAAGATTTCTTTAAAGACAATGATTTGAATTGCTCCATTCATAAATATGTAATATGTTTATAAACATGTTGAAAAAAGCCAGACTGAGTTTTTGGGTGTTCTTCTCGGTCACGGTGCTCTTTGAAACACTCTGTATAATTACAGACAGACAGAACAGACAAACGTTGTCAGTTTTTTTATGAAACCAAATAATTTAAAAAATTAAAGAGAATAAAGTATATTTTCTAATTAAAACCTTTATTTTACGTGGTGTCAAACGTCGAAAAAATTCATTGTAAATAATTTGCGTTTTAAACGTCAAAAAGTATTTCATTTATAATATATACATCTACTTCCTAATTATATATAATATGATAGATGACCTAAAACCTAAATATTTAAGTAAAGCTATTTATTATTAAGTTAAGTACAAAATGTTGCGAAAACATTTTCTATTCTGTAATGAACTTTCAAGAAAGCCGATAGGCATCTGCATTCATGATATTTTATCAGACATAGTTATGAGAACTATGTTGAAATGCAAGCATACCGAACTAATAACTATGAAAACTACACGCCACAACAATTAATACGAAGTGCAGTGCACGTTGAACAAGGATTCAATTATTTACATGTACACATATCTTACCAACGACAATTATTGTGATTTCGTGTTCTATAATTATAATGTAATGTAAGTTGTATTTGAACAACAAAATGTTCGACTAACAGACACTCAATAATTCTCACGTGGAATCGCAATTTAACTATTTTAAATAAATCATCATAGATGGCGACACAATCTAAGATATTTGGAAAAGAAAATATCATACTATGAAACTAAAGAAAGATGATTTTAGTTACTTTACTCGGTCTTACTATAGTCAAGCTAATACTTAATTCACAAAGGATCGAAAAACAAAAGACTGTACACTAAAAGATTTTTACAATATTGATTTAGTGTGGATAGTGTGGATTTATTTACATCGTTTTTTTTTAGGTAACAAACAGGATTACTATGGTGAAATAAACAAAGTATCTTAAAGTTTTTTAGTGATCATTTTAAAAATAACAATAATACGAATTTGATAGAGGTTAACAATAGAGAGTGAAGGGTACAGCTACTAGTATCTATAGCTATGTCTTTCTCATCCAGAAAAACTGGTCGGACAGAACATGCCCTAAAAATGCTGGAGCGGTGCATCCTGCTGCAGCCTCGCTTTGTGCAAGCTCACGTGGAGTTGTTGTCTCTAAAGCCAGATTCAGAAAAACTTGAGATCTTAAGAAAATTGGTCGAACTAGAACCAAACAATTGGGAACACTATATACTATATGGCAATTGGCTGAAGAATAGAGGTTAGCAATTTGTTTGCTTTTTATATATACGAGAAACACTTAATATTGTATTAATTTGGTGAGAATAACTGACTAAAAAAGTCTTATCATCCGACTTTATTATTTTATTTTAAAAACTACTATATTTAGTTAGAAGTTGAAGCTACTTAAGAATTGTCTGTAATTTAAACGAGTAGTACTCTTCAATTATTTACAATTTATAAAATGAGTTACGTAATACATTTCGCGTTATAAACCGTTAAAGTATTTTATTTTATGGTTAAAGCTAATATCAGAAACAACCGAACCCTTAAAAAATAATTTATTTGTTTGTAAGCCTATTTATCTGGGAATGCTTGATAAAAATATATGGAGTTTTTTTATTAAGCTTTATTATTTATTATTAAGTTCGTAGAGGGCGTAAAATTTAAGAACAATTTAAATATACCTTTAGGACATTTAATTTTAAACCTATATTTAAATATGGTATAAAAATGCTGTTATTTTTAGGTTTACCAGGTCCAGCGTCCAAGTTCTATCTTGAAGCGACGAGAGTGAGTTTCCAATTGCAGTCATCGCAGCGATCAGTACGAGCTGATCTCATTTCGTTCAGCTCAACAGCACTCATGTACAGAGCTTTAGGGCAGAAGTCTAGAATATTGCAGCTTTTGACCAGGTAAAATACGATAAAGAAGTTTAGTTTGTTAGGGTTTATAAGGACTTAATGTTTAAATAAAACACTTTAACGGTTTAAAACGGGAAATATATTAGTTATACTTATTTGAACATTATTTAACTACGGCCTGACGTTTAAAATGTTTTGCAGCAGCCATAGTTATGGGTTAAAATATTAAAAAAAACGAAAAAATATATTACTTAAATAAGTTTAGGTAACATATATCGCGTAAACCATCAAAATGTTTATTTTATATGTATACTACTCGCGTAAATTACAGCCAGTATTTGATGACTTATAGTATATTTAGATATTAGTCTTATAGATATTGTTTTTATGAAAGTAGTAGAATATCCATGTTGTAATCGAAACAGTGTTGTAACGAATCACTCCGAAATCTTTTGCGCTTATCGAATTACACGGTTGTTGTTAGCAGGCTTATGTTGTCAATTATATGAGGTTGCTAAGGGCAGAGTGGCCAATTAACAAAGATTATGATTTTTAAGGAGGAAAATAAAAATGAGCAATTAATTTAAAATTATGTTAAGAGTTTTCCATCATTGTGCTTTTGGAGATTGTCATTTTTAGACTACAAAAATAAAAATAAGTCCAGTTATAAAACTGCAGTTAGGCTACTCTGCCTCTAAAGCACTCGTATGCTTTACATTAAACAATATCGGATCTTTTAGTGACTTTTTGAATAGATGTATCAGTGCGTTCCATTATATAAATGGGACTTTTAAAATAACGAACACAAAGGACGCAACAACAATAAGTAATAAGCGCACGCGCCCGACTGACATTGATTTTCAATTAGCGATGTTTGCGTTGTCTATGGGACTTATCGCTATTGTACGTCGGGCTTCGACACTTCACTCATAAATAAAACCCTGAGCGCGTTAACTGTATTGCTATCATTAATCAATATCATCCAGTTTTGTCGAGGTGTTGCCAGCTGCTAATTTAAAATTACATGATATTTTTAAAGTATCTTATATAGTCCTAGTTACCTAATATATATGATGTAACTTTGACGGTAGGCCCGACAGTGTTTCTAACGCTTCTTCTATAACGCGACCGACCATTAGTGACTTCTATTGACTAACAAAACACGATTAGATCCAGACTGTCTGTCACCACAAAAAATCCCTGCCCCGACGTTATTAAAAAAAACAAAACAATTGTCAATGACCGTCTGTCGTGTCCGCATAACCCTAACTAGCTGAGTCAGCGACTAGAATAGTTATTTTGGGTATCAATCTTTCTTTTTGCGAACCTCCTCTTTATCTTTATACATTTAAATTATTGCTTGCGACGGCGCCCGCGGCCCGTCGTTCCTGCAAGTTTATCTTAAAAGATACACATGTGGTGTCGGGGACATTTTTTCGATCTTTTAAAGAGAAATCATTCATGCCTACATATTTTTTGGGTATCTTGAACCGTTGACGCAGCGTCCGCATCTTAAACCCACTGAGATAAATACTTTTCTCCGTTTTTCACATTTCTCTGTTTCTTTGTTTTCTAACTAACACAAAAATATTTTTCAATTCAAACCCGTATTTCCTGAGATAAGCGCGTTCAAACAAACAAACTCTTCCGCTTTATATATTAGTTATAGATAGGTGTTAAACAAACCATTCAGACCATTTGGTGAATATGGAGATGGCACTACTGCGACAATTTTCTATGGCCGTCATAAAGTATGTTATAATGTGAGCACAAATCATAGTTATTAATTTGTAACATTTTTAACGTTTATTGCATTTTCTAAGAATTATTATTAATTTCTTCGTGTTACAGACGGTCAAATCGAGTTCATAACATGAATCATAGTTTGTATCAATTTGTCAAATATCATTGCATTTTATTGCAATTGACTAAAACAGGTTCTACCCTGTATATCTCTATCTATCTAATAGTTCTCTCTCTATATCTAATAGTTATTAAAATAAATATTCGAATCACGCGATTTATTTATTAAATAGTCGTAAATAAGTTATGTAACGTATATCTATCGGTGAAAATTCTATTAGAAGTTTTTCTCCAAAGATATTTATTTCATCTTCTTTGATTTCAAGATGGCACACCTGGCGAAGAGGGTGGCCAAGCAGTGCGGCTGCACATATGTATTGGAGAGATTGGAGGCTCAAGATGGAACTAGAAGGCAGAGTACAGATCTATTCGAAAGCAGTCAATCCTACAGTAAGTATTAACTAAACGTTTAAAATCAAATTAAAAAGTGTGTAAGTATATGCCATGTATGCTTTGTGGTAATTATCATATAGACTCAATCTTTCTTTTCGCAGAAATCAAAAACGTGTTTCGACCACAAACATCTAGATGTCGAGCCTAATCGGGACGTGAAAGTGGAAGAAAAGGTTCCTGTGAATAAACACACGAGTGTTAGTGCTAAAGATGTTAACTGTGAGTGCAAACACTGTGTGAAAAAACGTAATCTGTCCGTGCCGACGCAACTAAAAACTACGCATAACAAATCCGAAATCGGACTCAAAGACAAGAAATGTGAACATAGAAAGGAGAGCAGTGATATAATACCGAAGCTAGGAGCGCTAACAGAACACATTCTGATGAAAACGTTTTAATGTTAATCGTGTGAAACTTTTCGGAGTGAAATAGTTAAGTACGCCGACAATATCGCAAGATTCGGCTGTGGTCTCCAATAAATGCCATAGCGTTGTTCGACGTGTAGATCTGTTAGCGAAGCTATCACAAAGATTCAAAATATATACGACGCTAATTGCGTACTGGTTCCGCACTTAGAGGAGACCATAGCCTTAATGTAGTTAAGTTTTTGAGCTTAGAAATTTCACGGATAGTTCCCGTCTCATTATAATTTCAAACTACAGAGGGCTGGCGCTAGAGAGTTCTTGCGGAGTTTTTCTTGAAAACTGGTCAACTAGAAAATTTTGCTTCTTTCAATTAGTTTTGCTCAATCGAGGAAGGAGATGTTTAATTTAATATACAATTCACGTGAAATATCTAAGCTCAAACAATTAGATAGACAACTAATTTAGTTAAGGATTTTGTAGAGAAAAAAAAGTATATTTTTGACAGACAATGTGGCGTTTATGCTGTGCACGGTTTTACGATGTTGTAATTCCTATTCGATCCTTCAGGTAGCTCTTTTTAAGGCATATTTAATGTGATAACTTAGTTCAGTCATATGAAGAAATGTAAAAGAACATCTTTATTTCCAATTTATTTATATATATATTTATAATATATCCGAAAATATCCAAAATAAATATTCCGAACAAAACTAATAATTGTATATAATTGAGTATAATTTTAATATATTAACCACGTTAAATATATAATTATTTTACAAAAAGAGCCATCTGAGAGTTGGACGAATATCTACTTGGCTTTGAGCATAACACGATAAGCCTATGTATCCACAATTACCTAAGATAACGTGAAGAGAAGTAAGTTGTACATATTTTAGGTTACAAGCACCTAATAATGCTTTCAATGTACTGGAATAAACATTTTGACAAAATACATCTTTCATTCCCATATCTATGAATCTAATTAATAATAATAGAAAATAATACGATTTAATATTCTTATACAAAGAAAATTTTACATAAGACATGTGGAGTTCCGTACACAAAGGGCAAAAAGTCTAAAGTTTATTTGAAAATTGTTTTGAAGTATTGCATTAGTTTAAGGGAGTAAAACACATAAAAAAAAACACTTTAAAACTTTAAAACGCGATATAAATTACATAAATTTCAATTGGAAGGACGGCTTAAGGATAGCAAACACATCTAAAGGTAACTCATATTAAAATACTTATTGCCAAGCATATCGATAAACAAGAGGCCATTGAGACTTTTTCCAATTTCAACTTCGACATAACAGATGGCTCTAGGGTAGCAGATCTTGACATTAGCCCTCATACTTCAGTCCCACTACGACCACGGCTGCTGTAAAGCACCCGAAACTTTGAGCCGTACTTAAAATACATTAAAAATACGTTAACTAATAATATCAGAAGTGTTTTATTTAACTTTCTATTTTCGTTTACCGCTATAACAACAACAATAACACTAAGTAAAACAAAGTAAATATTTTACAAGGGCTCACACAACATATATTTTCGTCGATATCAATAAGGGTGATGGATAGACACTTTTAATAACTAAGAAAGGTTTAATATGAAAATTATGTGCCTAGACAATAGTGCGGACCCGACCATCTGGACTCGAACAAATCGAGGGACCAACTCGCACTTGGCTATTAAAGTTCCTTCTATGACCAATTTCTTTATTTTTTTTTAGAATAGAGAAGACGAGACTAGCAAATGTTTGAGAAGATCCGTTATCGACCAATTTTGTCTTTGTATATTCAGAAATTCACAGATGCGGATTGAACTTGACGGCTTTTTTATTTGTGGAAGGTGGTTCTTGACCCCGGCGAAATACCTATACCATCCAGATATGCAGGCAAAGTCAGTCATTTCAGTAAAATTATAAATGATTTAGAAAAATATTGGACATGGCGGGACCTCATATGTGGAATGTGGGATGTGGGGTATATTTTATTTAACAATCCATCGCAGTTATATTTCTTATGATAGTAGGATACACGTACATCATTTATGATATGATAATTAAGTCTAATAGTAATTACATGTTTCATATGTATTTATGCCTATCACGTCAAACAAGTTAGGACGCCGGTTTAAGGTTACAAGTGTTCAAGGTAACATGTCCTTTCAACCTTCGGAAATAAAGACTTGTTTACATAAAAATCATTGGTTTGTAAATTTTAAAAAAGGTTTGTTTCGACCGAAATCCTAAATAAACATACCTAATATGCAAACATTATTTTTACTTTTTAATATTTAATGAAGATATGGCTGGATATTTCATAATATAAGGTCGTAATTATGTACTGTACTAAATTTAAATATAAGAAAAAATCGTTTCAGATGCTTTGCAGCAGTCGTGGTCATGGCTTTAAACAATTCAAAATGTTTTATTTAAGCAAAACTGGGGGCACAAACAAACAATACGCAGAGCTTATATCAATATATTGAACAGAAGGCATATAAAAATAATACATGTTTATGAACTCGAGCATACATATATGTATTATCTTCTAGTTCGAATGGTTGAAGTGGACGTGGCTTGTGATCAGAAAGCATTCACAGAACAAACACTACAAGTTCACGGTCCAGCTTGTTCCCGATAGTTTTCAATTCATATTTATATCGAGGCTCGAAGTTGGATTGGCCTCATCCATACTTATATGTAAGGCTCAGAAGCTTGTTACTTTATGTATATGCTTAGCGTAGAAGCCACTGTCCTAATTTAAAAAAATGGTGGTAACGACAATTGGACGAGTTGGAAAGGCTAACATCCAGTTTAGAACAATTGTAAGGGCTTAAAAAACTAAATATATTTATTAATTAGATAATAATTTAAGTTTAATTAATGGCCCGCCGTTTCGGATGCTTTGCCGGACCCAATGGAGTAATGACGGGCAGATGTCATGTCCCTTAAGACATTCATTCACTTTTGATCTTTAACCATTCATCGAACCACAAATTAAAATAAACCAGATCAGATGAAAAGGTAAAAAATGTTTCATTATTTTACATTAAACAAAGTTTAAAAGTTTAAAACCATCATTGTTATCTTGCTATACTAAACTTTGTTCAATCTTTCCATTATTTCATAAAAAGTAACTTGAGATTTCGTCAATATTTCCGTCCGTAACAGCTAAGTATCGTGCCTGTTAGTCGAGTGCAATGTTCCTTTATAAAAGAATTCTTTAATGACTTTTAAAAAGATATTAAAATGAAACCGTTTCATAGAAAAAGCCAAAGCGATTTCGGTCGCATGTCACAAAACGATAGCGAGGCAGGAAATGTCTTCGCGTTGCTCCTCGCTCATTTATCATAACAAAATAAGCATTAAATTTTGTCTTTTGAACGTTTCATTTAGCGATTAAATCCTCGTGACAGTTAAATTTCGGAATCCAACGAAATTAGCAACTATAATGGAGTTTTTAGTAGTTCATTATTTATTTGCAGCTCTACAGTGTATCAAAGCTAACTTCAAAATGTGTTTAGTCCTATCCTTTGACTAAATATAAAAATTGTGGTAAGTTTTTGACACCTTGTACAGAATTTAAAAAAGAAGAGTCCCCCACATAAAAGTCTTGTCTATTAACTGCACTAAACAAATTATTTTGAATAAAAAAATACGTACTAGTGGAAATGTTTTATTAAGATGTACTGCAGAAGATATCACTCGTTTAAGAAATAGGTTTCATACCTGCCAATAAATAAGTGATTGAAAGTGGAACCGACGACTTAACTTACCCTACCAGGATACCATTACAGACTTAGGCGATACAACAATTCCAAACTTTGACCATAATAAGGATTGTCAATAGAGAATATTGTATAAAAGGTAATATAATAAAGTATCTTCCACTAATTGTTAATAGACCTAACAAAGCAACTGAGCAACTAGTCTGTCTTGGCAATTGTAAGGCTCTTGCTGACTAATCAATCCATTCATTGTATCAGTTGAGCAATTAGGCGCTATTGTGTACGATATGGTCGAAATAGACAATTAGATTTCAAGCTTTCTCAGATACGTTTAGCTGCAGTAGATGAACGTTCAGTTAGTTTTAGTTGTAAGGCTTACACTTAATTAAATGAAAAGGCGTTGGTAATCATGAATATTTATAAATTTATGCTTTAATAGAGTTGAAAATTTTATACAATGTTATAATTAGATAAAGGGAACACCAAAGAAGGTGACATCTAGTTGCTTCGATCACTAAATTAATTAAACATGCTTATCTGAATAAATTTATCCAATTACTAAGTTTTCTGAGTATATATATTAGTACAACCAATAACTCTATGACTGCGACCTACTTTTTTTAACATCCGCTTAGTCACCATCAGTGTCGCGTGAAACGAATTTGAAGGTTTTAACTAAAGACAATTTGCCTTGACATACAGTTAAAAGAGATACTCACTTGTGGAGAAATGAAAATGCGCTTAATGCATACGTAATCAAATTACGCCAGTGTGAGACTGTTTGGCGTACACTTAGACCCAAGCGAAGATCTTTAATTAAATTTGGATAAAGAAACTACTGAGTTAATTAAACTTAAACAAGTACTTCAGAAATAAAGAAAAAAGACATGTTTAGATGATATGATGAGATGTGATATGGCTGGAATATTTTACCGCATGCTGGCCGCCTGTCTTCCCCTATAATATAAACAAAACCTGCGCTTACGTCCAATATTGTGTATCACATAAATTTTAAGCTTGCGTTTTTGTATTAAGAATTTCGAAATATATACGTAACGTCAGTTCGAATCCCGCCTTATCCCGCCTATCGAGTTAGATGATGTTAACTGCAATTTAATTTGACTATACAAAAATATGCCTATATTTTATCCTTTAACAGATTTTCATCATGGCGGACAGACAAACAAGGGGTTGCTGGTAGGTGAAATAATTGGGTATTATTAATATTTTCTTGTACTTGTATTTTGTAAAACTTAACGAATGTTGAAATGTTCATTTCATGGATAAATGTGAATG